CCAGACTATTCTAAGTAATTTAGCATTTTTAGTTAGGAAAAAAAGTGTTAATGACTGCAAGATTGCGGTGGCTAGACAATTGGTTGCAGCGCAAAGTGTCGCGGTCTCGATTCCCGAACGTAACAATACTTTGTGTGACAACTTTTTGTGGAAATAGGTATAACTATTTTCGGGTCTAGGTGTCTTGTGTTGGTGTCTACATTTACCTATGGCACAGGAGAAAATTCTGGTGCGAAGCAAGTACGGATTGTAAGTGCGGAAGAGCCATGCCTAGGCACAAGAGACACACTGCGTATAAGAACCAGGTTTCATTAAAATCAGTTGAGTAATTTCACTCTTAATTATTACTCTGAGTACAATCGATATTCTTTGTGCCCATTCTATATTATATATCATACATTCATCATCAGCCTATAAGTGCCCACTGCTGAGCAAAGGCCTCTTCTCACACGGAGGTTTGATCATTAACTACCATCACCCTTGCTCAAGGCAGATTGGCGATTTTAAACTTATAATTACAATTATATTTAAGTCCAAATATCGTCACGATGTTTTCCTTCACCGTATGCCAGTGGTGTGTAAATAATCATAGAAAGTACATACATATAGCTCGGAAAAAGTCACATTGGTACTTGCCCGGTTTCAAGACCGCTCCCTTGTGCATGAGAAGCGGGCGACTTAACCGCCAGGTGACCACGACGTTTTTATCGTTCGTTATGATCATTATATTATATTATACCATACCGAAATAATTTACAAATATACTATATCATATATCACATCACGCTTCAACACACGACATAAGCTTCATAATTCAATAACATGATCCTTTAGTGCACGGATTAAGATTACACTATTTATACATACAGCAGCTTCACAACTCAAAGCTTCCATAAAAGCTGCGTTATCAATCAGATGATCAATGTATGTAACATTTATATTATCACCAGTTAAACTCGGTTTTTTTGTCATGGGAAAACCATCAAATGACTTCTCCCGCCCAGGGCCGGGCAGGAGGGAGTGTCAGACTCGTACTGACTAAAAACCCCCCTGTTCCTTCTCCTGCTCTGGGCCGAGGTCGCGGTGCCTCATTGCGCTTACCCCGCAACCCTGGCTGAACATCAGCCCTATAGGGCCCCGTCTGTGGTGGTCTATTGGCTCTTTGAGGCGCGCGCGGAACGCTACGCGCCGTACGCTCGGGCGGCGAGCTGCCCTTACTCGCTGACCGCAGACCCGCGCTTACGGTGGCCGGAGATCAGCAGCATCAGCATCACCCTATAAGTGCCCACTGCTGAGCAAAGGCCTCTTCTCATACGGAGAAGGTTAGAGCATTAATCATTACGCTTGCTCAATGCGGGTTTGCAGTTTCAAAATTATAATTAGAAATTATAAGTCCAGGTTTCCTCACGATGTTTTCCTTCACCGTATGTCAGTGGTGTCTAAATAATCATAGAAAGTACATATATCTCGGAAAATGTCACATTGGTCCTTGCCAGGTTTCGAACCCACACCCTCATGCATGAGAAGCGGACTCCTTAACCTCCGGGCCACCACGACAACTACATCCTCACCCAATCCTTAATCTACAAATCTCGAATCTATAACAACTCCCAAAAGGACAGTTACGCACTTGTAATTTCATTAGTGCGAAAATATGTAAGCAGGCTTACACCCTTACACCAAAAAGGTGCATCAAAATAAACAATATATGTATACCACTGCTAATTTGCAAAGTCACCTACTGCGGCGGCTGGGGCATGTGGAGGATAGCTCTTCTTTGAGAGCATCATTGCTTCGCAGAAAGAGGAGATGGCTTAACAGTTTCTCTCGCTCCGTGCCATGTCCTCGACTTAGGCCGGGCGCAAGAGATCGCGACCGTCGATCACTTTCCTGAGGACTCGGCGGTGCTCAGTCGAAGCCACCGCCACCGTATGCTGTATACCGTGTCGTCGATAATACTTTACCTTTTTTTGTTAGGGAAACATCATAAAACGACGGAGTAGGATGTGAGGCGAAAGGGAGTGTCAGACTCTTACTAAAAGAAAGCCCCCGTTCCTTCTCCTGCTCTAGGCCGAGGCCGCGGTGTCTCATTGCGATAATGCTTTACCTGACTCGGTAATTACACATGAGACCGAGATCTCGGCAGTAGAGCAAACGGCGACTCGTCTAATGAGATCGCTAAAAAACATCCATTCTTAACAAAACGTACCTACCTAGACATATAACAAAATTGCACACACACACACATTAACATACCTACCTAAATCCATACAAATTCGTCTCTTTTAAGCCTACCCCTTTTTAGTCTCCCCCATCTAAAGAAAGCGGAGGGTACATCCCTCGTAAGACCTTGACATACTTTGGTTCCGACTGTTACCGGATCAAACCGGATCGAACCGACGCGCGGTGGATTGTATGAGAGTGCAGTTATTACGAATTTATGTTATAACTGAGGCAGTGTGGGTTTGAGATGTTTTAATTTAGATAGAATGCTAGAAGTACTTACGTAGGTACTTATAATAGGACTGTGATTTATTATATGTATTAGGTATGTATGTGATCATCATTTATGTGAAATTATGGAAGAACAAAATACATTGATTTGGCACCAGGCATAATGCAGTACTAAAAACACATAAAAAAAACAAAAGAATGTGCCTTTAAAATATCTGCGTAGATTAAATAAAAAAGTCATTATCTACATATATCTGTATAGTTTATTCTTTAAATTATGAAAAGTTAATTGACTTGAATATACGTATCCCGTTACTGTTCGAAATAAGTTCGACTAGTTTCCAACCATACCGGGGCTTACAATAATTGTGAGCTGTGTTATCATATGAAAAAGTATTGTTGTATTTGCTTTAAAAATAATAAATCAAACAAGAGAAACAACGTCAGTGTATAATAAATAACAGAATTATTTCCTTTCTTTCTATATTTAAGCTTGAATTCAACGGAAAATACTTACAATTTTTCCGACACTTAATCAGTTTTCGATAGGATTTGTTCACACAAACGTTGAAAGGCAGATCTACATCAATTTCTCACGTTCCCAGCAAATCCCGCGGCCGCCATTACAGGCACGGTGTTGGGATTTGAAGACTTTTACACTTTCCGCAAAATTTCTCGATTGTGTTATTTAAAATGAACTGAAGAGTTTTTATTAGAATGGTGATATTGTTAAAGAGATAACATTATATATAGTATATATTCTTTGCTATTTCGATAATCTTATCTAACTCATATTATAATTGCGAAAGTTACGATGTTTGGATGTTTGTTACTCAATCACGCCAAAACAGCTGGACGGATCTGGATGAAAGTAGCAACAGGCGTAGGATAAACTCCAGAATAGGACATAGGTAGGCTACCTTTTATCAACAAGGTACCTATAAAATTGTCAATACACTATTGCATTAGGTTGCCCTGTAATAATACCTAGTTGTATTTTGTGATAAATAAATAAATAAATAAAATAAATAAATAACATATCACGTGGGTGGAGCCAGTGTCTCTTTCTTTTGATTTCATATCTCTTTCTTTTGACTTTTGAGGGAGAAACATCATTAGATTAATGACTTTTCTAGGTCTCGGTGGGAGGTGAAAAACCACCCTATTTCTTCTCCTACCGCAGGCTGGGGTCTGCACATTCTTGCGAAGTCACCAAACACATTTTTTTTGTCAGGGTAAAATCATCAAATGACCTCTCCCGCTCAGGGTAAGGTAAGATGGAGTGTCAGACTCTTACTGACTAAAAACCCGCCCGTTCCTTCTCCTGCTCTAGGCCGAGGTCGCGGTGACTCATTGCGCTTAACTCGCAACCCCGGCTGAACATTAACTCTATAGGGCCCCGTCTGTGGTGATCTATTGGCTCTTTGAGGCGCGCGCGGAACGCTACACGCCGTCCGCTCGGCTCTGAATCTGGTCGGGAGGCGAGCAACCCTTACTAAGAAATATGTTCATCATTACCAGCCTATAATTGATCACTGCTGAAAAAATGCCTCTCCTCCTCTTCTTCCATAGAGGATGAATGAGCATTAATCACAACACTTATTCAAGGCTGACTAGCTTCCGCAATCGCCTTCGCCCGCGTGGTGGATGAAGACCTGTACTTATATTAATCTTACCTATAAACATACCTATCTACATATCAAAATTCCACCAAATCGGTCTATCCGTTCTTGCGTCGAAGGATAGCAAAGTTACATACATTAACAATTTTCACAATTGTTATGTTAGTGGGAAAGGCGAATTCGAACTTGTAGGTAATTTGATTTATTAAGATCAAGTTTCCTCACAATATTTTTACCGTATATAAATTCCGTTTTTATTTTAAACGTACTTTCAAAGCGTAAAAGAGTTATTTAACCTAAAAACAGGTAGCAAAAAAATGCGTCACACGGAACGTTAAAATTCAGTTACCATAGGCAAAGGACATTAAATCGTACAGCCTTGATTGTCAAACTGTTACATTTGTCACAGACTGACGTCTAATTTTGTTAGTCTGTGAACGAAACCGCGACACGAAATGTTTATGGCGGGAAATAATTAAATGGCGTATTTAAGTGAATGTTTCATCATTATCTTAATTATTTCTTTGGTTAAATCTTGACTATGCATAATGTAAAATATAATGGGGCTGTGACAAAAAAGTGGCAAACTTTTAATTTATTTTACAAACAAAATATTAATAACATTGAACTTACTCTAGTAATATCACTGAACATGGACAGTTTTAACTATATTTCTACTGAGATAATAATGAATCGCTTTCGTATACCTAACTCGTTGGTAGTATTTAAATAGTACAATGATATCTGGAAAAATAGGATCCAGCATAAAGCTTTGAATGTAATGAAATGGAAATAAACCGAAAGCGAGAATAAATTTGTTTTTTTTTTCTAATTTTACTTAAGTAATCTACGTAAGAAACATTTGCAAACACAAATCTCCTTTCCACAAATTTAATTAATAAAGTAACTTTTCTTTTGTTTCAGACGCCCGGAATACTTCAATTTTCTTCTTTGGACAGTCCCTTACAGCAAAAATGTCTAAATTAAAATAACGTTTCAATCTTCAAAACACCAGAAGAGTGCAAAACGATGCTGTTTTCACATTAACGTCGACACAATCCTTCTCATATGCACAGAGAAACATACAACGTGTTCAGAGATTCACTAAAATTACGCCAAAAATTACTCCAAAGAACTACCACGTACTTTAAAGTAGTCGAATTCGTTAAAAAAGACGCAATACGATATTTCACATACGATTACGAAATACATCAATAGCGTATTATGAACATATTCATAGGGAATCATTCTAATAATCTTGTTAAACTTAAACATTAAAAAGACAATAAATATAAAAAATAAAATTCGTCGAAGTGTCGAAGTATAAATCAATTACTTAATAATAATAATTTTAAGTAGAAGAAATTTGAATTGATTCTTAATTTAAAACTAAATAAATAAAAAGTTAACTACTAAATCAATAGCATAGATAAAAAAAGAACGATTTGACAGTTAAAATGGCGGGAAAGGCTGAAGCGATTGGACCGAGAAACGGTCATGAGTTGGCGCCTTTGAATGCGCGCGCTGATGGCAGCGAGCGACCTCATGGAGTAACCATCGTACTCCAGGGCTCAAGGGGCTCTCTGCAAAGAGAGGCTCCTGATGAAGATCGCGCGGCATGGTCAGGCAAACTGCAGTTCTTCCTATCCATCATCGGGTACTCCGTCGGACTTGGAAATATTTGGCGGTTTCCGTACCTGTGCCAGCAGAATGGAGGAGGTAAGTTTATATTCCCCATATTTTTTAATTTGTTATAAAACAAAGGTAGATGATGTGTGACGACAATGACTACCAAAAAGGTCATATTTGATTATAGTTAGAAAAAAATAATGAAAAAAAGTAGCCAAAGTATAACTAGGTAATGTTAGTGTCTTTCTTTCATTATTTTGAGAAAGTTTTGTGAAGGATTGATTACATCGAAGCAACCAATGAAAACCACCTACTTTTTAATTGAAAATCTACAGAATTGGGCAATCCAATTAATCATTTTGTCAGTTCAGTAGTTGTAAAGTGTTTAGTTTTTCTTTAGGTAGCTAATTACAGGCCAGCTCAAGGTTTTTCTAAGTAAAAGTTATTTTGGGCGATGTGTGACGCAACGATAACGTATATAATCTACGAAGGCCTAGGTTATCCAGGTAGAATATTTGGTAATTCAAGTCAAACCATTCGACATTTTTTAACAGCTCTAATCATTTGACAAACAGGACCTTACGCTACACTAACGCCATCTATTAACCTGAATAAGTAATTATTTTCAATAAATGTAGTGTGTTTCCTACTTACTATTTAAGACGAAATAAAAAAATTGACAGCTAAAATGCTTTTATAGTTTAACTTAAAAACATGTTTTACGGCTACTTTGATACAACCGATGACCGAAAATTATCATATAGTAAGAGATAATTAAGTATTTTAAGAAAGTTATCATAATTAAGAAGATATTTGAAACTTGCTTTTGCCCGCGACTCTATTCGCGTGGAATAGTGACTTCCTGCAGATTTTTGGTTAAAAAACTATCCTATGTCCTTTCTCGAGTTCCAAACTATGTCTGTACAAAATTTCACACAAATAGGTTCAGTAGTTTAGGTGCGACAGACAGACAGAGTTACTTTCGCATTTATAATTTTAGTTTAGGTTACATGTTTGAAGTACCTTTAATCGGGTCAAGAGTAATGAGGTACAACGTCCTCGGACTGGAGCAGGAGAAGGAAGGGATGGTTTTTAGTCAGTAAGTCTCCCTTTATGCAAGAGAAGTGATTCGATGATTATGCTCCTTAAAAAAAAGCATAATCTCAGCTGAATTTGGATCTGCTGTGTGATTCTGTAAGACTTAAGACCCGGTTTCCGAAAGGCCCATCAATGTTAAAATCAATTTAATCTCTTGTCAAGTCATCTGATTGATTGACTGAATTATCAACAACCAATCAGATGACTTGACAAGAGATTTAACAGGAGATTAGTTAATTTTAGCGTTGACAAGCCTTTCAGAAACCGGGTGTTAATTCTAAACTTCGAATCTGAATCCGCCACACGGATCCACCGTGAGTAAGTTGAACTAAATTGATATCTAATTTGATAGATAAAGTATGAGATGACGTTAAAAGTGGCATGCATTCTATAATTTAATTTACCCGTCACTTCAACGCTCACTTCACACTCGAACAAGATTCAAAATCAAACAAATTTTATAGAATCGACGTGCAGGATAGACTTGAAGGTCAAAAGAAACAAATTACCTAGTTTGTACATTACATATAAATCACAACTTTAATAACTTACTAGGTATAATGATAGTTCGAATAAACTTAAACGATTTTCTAAGCAAAATGCATTAGTATGAAGGTAAACACGGAAAGAATATCACGCGATTTAAAAATTTATTGTTGGTTACAGTTGTATATTGTTCGTGAGTATTGCATTTTTCTAACAGATAAAAGTTTTATTGAAAAACAAGCAAAGATTTTAGCACATCAAGTTACTACATCACACACATCACATCATCAGCCTACTTCTACTACTCTTCTCACACGGAGAAGGATTGAGCATTAATCACCACGTTTGCTCAATGCGGGTTGGCGATTTCAAACTTATAATTAAAAATTATAAAAGTCCAGGTTTCTTCCCGATGTTTACCTTCATCGTATGTCAGTGGTGTCTAAATAATCATAGAAAGTACATATAACTCGGAAAAAGTCACATTGGTACTTGCCATGTTTCGAACCCTCACCCTCATGAGCATGAGCATGAGAAGCTCCTTAACCTCCGGGCCACCACGACATGAAGTTAACCAGAATGTAATTTCAAACTACATTTAAAAGTATGATTTGCCTTTTGTTATTAGATGCTACAAATGGTCTGTGACACCTATTTTAAGTATTTCTGGTTTCAAGTTTATTACTATACTTACTAGCTTTTGCCCGCTACTCTATTCGCGTGGAATAGTGACTTCCTGCAGATTTTTGGTATAGAAACTATCCCATGTCCTTTCTCGAGTTCTCAACTATGCCTGGAACAAATTTCACAGAAATTGGTTTAGTAGTTTAGGCGTGCAGAAAAGACAGACAGACAGAGTTATTGTCGAAGATTTTAAATTAGTATCAGAATTGCATCCATGTGAAGCCGGAGTAAAGTTATCAATAAAATGAGACTCTGTTTCTTAAGTAATTTTTTAACAAATAAATATCATTTCAATACGCTTTTACGAACAAAATTAGGTACACGGTAATACGGTTAACCACGTCATTGAATCGGCTTGACACTTCATTCGCTAAACCAGTTTCAGCCGCTTCAAACTGAAACAAGGGCTGAAATTATTTGAAACCGCGCCGAGGCTAGCGTTTAAGGTTTGGTCACTGTGGCAACGACGTCATACTTTAATATACTATATTTATTATCAAATACTTAGGTTCGCAAAATAAACTAAGTTCAAGGTCATGTTACATAGTCCCCATAGTAAAAAAGGGGTTGCTGTAGGTATCTATCCTTAACTCATATTTTGGAATCTTTCCTTTTTTGGGAGGGGAAAATCATCAAATGACTTCGCCCGCCCAGGGCAAAGCGAGAGAGAGAGAGAGAGTGTCAGACTCTTACTGACTTAAAACCCCGATGTTCCTTTTTCTGCTCTGGGCCCAGGTCGCGGTGAGTTATTGGGTTTACCCCGCAACCCCGACTGGATAAGTCTACTAAAACTCATATTTTGGTACCTTTATCCAAAAAAATTGTTCCGGCTCGGAACGGATCCGGTTCCGGATCACATAAATAGGTAGTTGTTCCGTGCGGGAATCGAAACCGCCATGCGTTGCGCGGAAGTTAAGTTGCCCTGTCATCGCGCTACCGTGCAGTCAATATCAACTTTTCAACTTGACTTATATGTACCTTTTTTTAAATGGGGAAAATTATCCAATGTCTTATTTATTCCGCCCTTAATGGGCTAAGAAGTATCAGACCGACTAATACCCTTCCCGTTTCGTCTGCTCTGAGCTGGGGCCGCAATATTTTACTTCGCTTGCACCCACAACCCCATAAAATATGTAGCTGCACTTTACTTATTCAATTCTTTATAGTACTGTTGTCGAAGTACTACCAATATGCACTAGAAGGTAATCGAGTATTGATTTTATAGAGCCGGTGAACGCTCGCTAGACGATTTGTATCGCTCAAAACCTTGGAAGGAGTCGAATGGTTGAAGGAAAAACTAAATTCGCTTCCTACCCACATATATAAAGTGGGAGTATGACCAAAGTTTAATTGGGTACTTGGATTTAGTGAAAATAAATGATTTTATTGCGATTAAGCGTGGGTGAGCCATGCTCTGGCGAATAGGCTCACTCGACCGTGGTGATTAACAACTGTAGCGTTGTTGTTTCGCTGTGTGAGAGGTTACCGAAGGTCCAATCCATACCCTCCTTGCCAAATCCCTTAATTTCATTATCCTCAAAAGTTCGGCATCGCATCTACAACTAGTCTGGCATTGCAGGTACTTATGGTTGTATTTTTTGAACAAAATTTTGCGAAATAAGTATTTTCAATGGTATATTATTATGTCGTCAAACGAGCAGACGGATTACCTGATGGTAAGCAATCAGCGCCGGCCATGGACACCCGCAATACCATAGAAGTTCCGAGTGCGTTGCCGGTCGATCCTTAACTATCGGGAGGGAATATATTGGGAAGGGATGGGGGAAAGGGGGCCTCCGGTAACTTTACTTACCCGGCCGTGGTATCACTCCGGTCGAGCCGACCCATTCGTGCCGAAGCTTGTTTCTCTCACACAAGAATAATAAAACAATGAAACAATGAATCCATTTGACGTCCATTACACACGATATCGTTCAAAATAGGATAAGTCAAAGTAGGATCAATGTAACAACACCATCTAATATACTCCCAGCGGAAAATGTACACCACTACAGAACTTAACTTACCCCATAATTGAGATGTTATGATACCAATCCCACCTTGGAAACCGTAACCCTTTTATAGTCACATTGCGCGACGTCCCTTCTCCCTAAGAAGGGCGGGGGTGGGGGAGTTATCCCCTCCCCATACGTACAATACCTGGCTATAAAGAAATGGTCATAGAATTTTGAAAGATCAGTTTTTTATTTTGTACTTTATTATAAACCCGTTAAAGTACAAAATAATTAAAGAGTGAGAGTCTTGCTTCGGCGTGATATCACGCTCGTACATAAGACGGCAGCGTGAAATAACGCCGCGTTTATTTGAAGCCTTTTGAAGTTGCCGGAGACTCGTTTCTCCCGCATTCCTAATCCCCAAAGGCTGGTAAGGCACGAAAAACTCCTCAACTGTTGACCCATAGGCAACCCTCGTTGCGAAAAAAGTTGGCTGTACGGCTGCTCTTTTAAATTGAAGATATTATATTCTTTTTTGAGGAGGATGATCAGACTTCTCCTGTTCCGTTCAGGGGCCGCGCTATCTTAATTATCTTAACCGCGAATTTTAAGTCCAGGTTTCCTCACAATGTTTACCTTCACCGTATGTCAGTGGTGTCTAAATAATCATAGAAAGTACATCTAACTCGGAAAAAGTCACATTGGTACTTGCCAGGTTTCGAACCCCCACCCTTATGCATAAGAAGCAGGCGCTTTAACCTCCGGGTCACCACGACGTTTGGCACACAACAAGCAGTTTTACTGGCTTATAGTTATAAGCCGTATACGCCCCGACGTAGCTGATAATCTCTTTTCAAAGGCCCATGA